TTCATATGAAAAAACACAACACAGAACATGTAAATGCTTCCTGAACAATAAAAGAACTGCTGAAAATACTGACATCTCATATTTCAGGTTGTACTACAGAGCTACAATAATTTAAAAAATTGTGTGGTATTGATATAAAAACAGACATGCTAATAAGAGGAAACAAATTAAATACCTAGACAAAATTCCATATACCTATTGAAATAGATTTTTGACAAGGAAGCTAAAAATTCAATCTGAGGAAAAGATAGCATCTTTAACAAATGGTGGTGGCAAAACTGGATGGCTGCTTGTAAAACACACAAACAGATCCACATTTATTTTCCCACTCAATCAAAATTAAACTCTAAAGGGATCAAGGACCTCACCATAAGACAAGATACTCTAAATATAATAAAAATGGAAAATAGTCTTGAGCTCATTGGCATAAGAAAATAACTTTTGAACAAGAATCAATAATAAAGGCACTTAGATCAATAATTAATACATGAGACTTCATAAAATTAAAATGCTCCTGTATATTGTAAGTAACCCTGCTCAGACACCTCTTGAAGGAGGGGGTGAAAAGGTGAGAAGTCAATTACACAAACTGGAGTAAATGAATAGCATAGTGTGCTACAGACTTGTTTATTGCGTTTTATTGCAGAAATCAGACTTGACTTTATATTGCCCTCCCAACACCCCATTGGTCCTCTAGGCCTCTAGAGATATGTTGTCCTTTCTCCATGTGTCTCTATGTCAGCAGTCTCTAGCCACTGTGGCTGACTCCAGGTTGGTCTAAGGGGAAAGTTACTTTAACTCATGCACAATCAGCTTGAATGGTTATGACTCAGTTGCACCTATTGGCAGTCTTTCTTTTACACCTGTACAACATGACACAACATCATTCAGTCAAAGGCAGCCCATACAATAGTTAAATAAAAACATTTTATAAATTATACATCTGATTAGCATCTAAAGTATATGAATCTAAAAAAAAACCAAAAATCAGGAAACCTAATAAATTAAAAAAATAAAAACAGGTCACTGAAATAAACAGAAAAGTAAAAAGATGAACACAAATGGTTCAAAAACACATTGAAAAATACTCAGTATCCTTAGCCAGAAGGGAAATACAAATTAAAATTACTTTGCTATTTCATCTAAACCCAGTCAGAATACCCAAAATAAATAAAACAAAGGACACCATATACTGGAAAAGGCAGAAAAAAGGGAACACATTTTCATTGCTGGTGGGAATGCAAACTTGTAAAACCACTATGGAAACCAAGAAGCTACGAATAGTTATACCCCAAAATCCAGCTCATACTGCAATTGGGCATATATACCCAAGGAACTCTACATCCTACTGCAGAGACACTTGCTCATCCATGTTCATTCCTGCCCTACTTTCAATAGCCAAAAATTAGAAACAGGATGGATGCCTTTCAATGGATGGGTGAATAAAGAACATGTGATACACTTGCTCAGTGGAATTTTATTTAGATATTAAGAAAAATGAAATTTGTGTAAATAGATTATTGAGGTAATCCAAACCTCAAAAGACAAACATATGTTTTCTCTTGTATGTGAAAGTTAGCATGCCACAGTCAAAATAACAACCATCTTTACCTATGTACTAAAGTACTAGGAAGGAAAGAGAGGATTTCTCAAGGAAGGAAAGTTAAGGAATACTGTTATGAAGAAACAAGTGGAAAAACAGGCTAGGAGAAACAATTAGGGAGTGCAATGTAAGAGAAGTTTAAAGAGGAATATTGGAGGGACAGCTAACACTAAGGGTCATTTAAAAAACCATATGGAAGCCAATGTACAAGTTTCCTAAAATACATAATATATGAAAAGATTATTTGATGGGAGAGGTCCTTCTGTGTATGCTTATCTTATTGGTTGTTGAATAAAGCACTGTGGGCCAATAGGAAAGCAAAATAGGTGGGGCCAGGAGTCGAGGCAGATTCTGGGAAATGTAGTAAAAGGAAGTCTTGTGATACAGGCAGGAAGTGTCATAGCAGGAAGACTCATATATATAAGCAAGGACAAGAAGGAAGTCGTTCTCTTGCTCTTGCTTTTTCTCCTGCTTTCTGCTCTGGAGCTGCCATGTGAGCCCAGGAAGAGGACGCCAGCAGAAGGTGTTCTCGATAAGTCTTATGAAATATATAGATTTATGATAATTAATACTGAGCTAGCATATAATAGATCCTTGTCAATTGGCCAGTAGCATTGTAAACGAATATAAGACTGTGTGTTATTCTGAGATCCCAAGTGGTGGCGGGGCTCAGGCAGAAGAAGTAAAGATTTATCGTTACAAATATCTAAATGTATTCATCAATAATAGGGGAAATAATGACTTAACTAGACATCTTATTCCACCAAGTAAAATATCCAGTGCCATAATGGGGTATATATTATTGAATCATTGACAAAAAGTGCCATAGTAAATCTCCCAATTATCACAGGTTGTTGCTTAGGCTATTGGTTACTCTCCCCAAATGATGTTAAAGACATATCACTGAAGGCAACACTTACATATCTCATTGAACACAGTGAAGTCAAGAAGATGCCCAAGTAGATGCTTCATACCTACTGAGTAGTGTTCATGGTGCTAGAAAATATTATACACTATCAGAAGTGAGGGGTAATCATCAACTCAGCTATAAATGTAGCAATCTACAACAGTAATATACCTGCAAGATATTTGGCTGCAATAGTGGCCAGACATTGTTTGAGTAACCAACCACATTCTAGTGGAATCAAAGCCCAATCCATTATATGGAACTCATACCTGACAATCTAAATTGGCCAAGAACTTGAAACTAGATAAGCCATGAGTCTATGGAGGAAATCACAAACTGATATTCTCCTAAAAGAACATAGTGATGAAATGACTCCTAATGACATTTCACTACTCCCATAGATTAGTGCCTTACTTGGGTATCATCAGAGAAACTCCTTTTTTACAGTACACAGAAACTAATACTGAGATCCATAACTAGACAATGTGCAGAGACTAAGGTATTTTGGAGTACTCATTCCTACATGAAATTTCTTAATTAAGTTCTTCCATTAAAGGTTCTGCAGCTTATGCAAAAGAGGAGTCATAAAGATTGTAACAGCCAGAGGTGACAGATGACTATAAGGAAACAGTGACTTCTAAACATAATAATAATGGGACAAATATAAACTCAGACTGTGGTGGCATGCACAAGGCCTGCACAGATTAAAGGTAGACAGAGTCCCACAAGTTAAAGCTAGACAGAGTTAAAACTAAGAGGGTGAAGTGGACATTGTCTCCTACCCCTAACCAAGAAGCTATATTCAGTTGATACTCACTGGCAAAGGAAAAAGTCAGTCTTTCTCCAATGGTGTGATACTGGATATTATAACCATACTCCAGGGTAGACCACATACATACCCAAAAGTCGTTGGCCCACACAAAACAAATTCAACAGTATTTTTGTAAACATTTTATCTTGTTGTGCTTAATTTTTGCATTTATCTTACTTGTATTTGCTTGCATATTTCAATTTCCATTTTTGCATGTTTCCCTTTGTTTATATTTCTCCATTTAAAGAGAGAAAGGTGAAATGAACATAATATTGAACTTTTAGGGAGGTGATGAGATTTTCTGAGAAATTGTATGGAAAAACATGATCAAAATACATTATATGAAAAAATTTCAAAAAGTAATACATTTAAAATATAGATGCAGTACTTTAGAGGCCTGTCTTAGAAGGACACATACTTCTTCAATCATTGCCTAATTTAGCCAGAACAAAGTTACTGTATCCCATAAATGTCCATGAGAAATTGAAATTTTTGGTTTCTCAGAAGAAAATATGAAGAGAGTTTGATGAACAACTGAAATTGTCTTTGGAAAATGTACTTATTTCTGTATCCTTATCTGACTGTGTCAATGTCCACAAAATTTATTACATATAGCATGAAAAAAGTAAAGACAAATCTCAATATAATTGCAAGGAATACAACATTGACTGTTAAAGTCATTTTCAGAAAACATGTCATAATTTATGAGATGAGCAGTCCATAGGACAAGCAAAGTACAAAATGGTTGATGTGTTCACTATTGATAGTTAAATAAGGACCACCAAAATATTTATTGCAGCAATATTCATAATACCTAGGTTGCAAAACCAACCAACATATTCATCAAAAGAAGAGTTAACAGATACAATGTAGTAGACCTATACAAGAGAATTGTTTTTTTCAGCCACAAAAATGAATGAATTTCCTGGACAGGAAAATATATGAGACTAAACATGATCATGTTAAATGACTGTAGCCAATTTTATGTAGATATATAAATTCATGTATGTTGCTATAACATGGGAATGGAAGCAAAACTGTGTAGGGACTATTGAAAGGGGAGGAATATGAAAACTAAAGGTGAGAGTATTGGGTAATTACAATCAATATATATTATATACATGTGTGAAGATATTCTTGTATAAAATGCTGACATACAAAATAACTACACAATATCTACAATTCACATATCAGAGTAAAAAAAGTCTCAAAAAGTTACACTTGATTCACCCTCTTAGTAGTAGTGAAGAAAATGGAATAGCTCCTTTTAAAACTACGAATCTGGACTCTAAGCCCTCATTTATCTAAGTGGAGACAATAATAAATAACATACGCAGATGGAATTTCTGGAAAGCAACATCTTTCTGCTCAATTTTTGGCAAGTTAGAAGAAAGTTCAAGTGAGGGCTTCCTTGGCAACATAAAAAACAGCTGCTATGCCAAGAGGTGACTTGAAGTCTTGTCTCCCTGCCTTCAACACAGGCACAAAAATAAGTAAAGATAGTACATAAAAATTTGAGACAAATTGTTCAGTTATCCTATCTGATTCTCACTCAAATTACCACCCTGAGCCTTAAGCAGATATTTTGCAACAATATCTGTGGAGGGCAAAATGGTGAAAGATGCATATGCACCAATGCTAAACTGTAGAATAAAATGTCTACATGTGTATTTTTGTAGGTATTTCAGAGCACATTTTTACATTTGACCAGTAAAGACCTTCCAGAAAAGAGATTTCTCAAATCAAATCCATTGACATAAATCAAAATAATAGAAGAAATTTATTCAATAAATTCATCATCTAAATTGTAAGTACTGTTTACTTTCTGATATCAAAATTGAATTGCTCTCATTCATTATGCTAGTATTCAATATTTTCTCTTATAAATAAGAAAAGGTTGTGACCCTAAGTAAATTAAATTGAGAACCAATCTATAATTTCTTTGAAAAAAACAAAGGGCTATTTCAGAAGTTATTAAAATTGTAAAGCCAATACACTTTTCCAGGATTATTTTTCATTGAGTAGGAAATAACTTTATGAATCAGTTTTAGTCCTGGATTTTAGAAATTTTTTATTAAGAAGGTACTTGAGATGACCATATCAAATTTGTATGTCAAACTACTATTGGTATGAGAATTGCTGGACAAATTCTTTGTTTTGTTGTTAAATATTTGTAGTTAATAATAAACCTGAACATATTTTAATTGGCCTCTGAATATTTTGTGCTGATGAATTTGAAAACAGCATTAGTTTAAAGATGTGTTGTGATTTCACAAGAGCCCATGGGGTGATCAAAAATTTATATGTGGGACCATGATGCAGTTAATGTAGGTTGCAAAGACATGAACCTAAATCACTTAGAATAGAGAAATGTTTCTCAAGAAAATTTTCTGTGAGGTCATAGCATATTTTCTTGTTAAGGTATATACACACACACACACACACACACACACACACACACACACACACACCTTCTTTATTTTCCATAGTACCATTTGAAATCATGAAGGCTCTGAACAGGTATTCATAGCTACTTTTTGCCTCAATCCATTGTAATAAGCTGCAAGGCAAAGCAAGTCACTGTAAAGTGATTTATATATTCCCAAAGGAGAAATGCTATTTTTAGGGATGATACTCTTAACCAATAATTTTGACCCTGAATACATCATGTGTGCTACAATGATGTCTCACAAGGTAAAAGTTCTTAAGGCAATAAATGTGTACTTTAATAGATACTAATTACATATATGATGAGTAACCATAGTGAACTCAGTTTTGGAAACTGGGATATTAATACCTTGAATATCTTTCATATCTTAAAGGAAATTTCATGGGGAATAAAAGAAGACTGTTGTCCCTTTTTTTCTTTCATGGTAAATATCCCCTTTCTCTCTAGTTTTTGGAATTATTCCAATAACTGTTCTTTTTTAAAAAAAATCTATTATTACTTCTAGTAGTGAGAGATTTTTTAAAAAGTAAAAATATTAAAACATAGTGATGCAAATCAGGTTTCAAGCTTCACCTCTGTTGTTAATTACCTACATGACCCAAATAATACTTCTACAATGTGAATTGTTTTCTGTGTATATGAATATACTAATTAGATGTACTACAGAGGCCCGTGTAGTCACCTAACATTCTGTAATCTATAAAAGAGTCCTTCATTCTTAGAGCCTAATCTGAGATTTTAAGAACAATCTTGTTTTCTCTGTGGACTATTGAATCATTATCTCCTAACTCTGATGACTATTTTGATGATTTTGCCCTAGTACTAATTCACAGAGTCACACAGATAGATAGTATTTGTTTCAGTGGTAATAGTGTGGTTACAGATAGATAATATGGTAGTTTGAGTCTAACTGCTCCCACAATCTCATAGGAAATGGCACTATTGCCATTGGCTTTGTTGGAATGGGTATGGTCTTGTTGGGGGAAGTGTGTCACTGTGGGGGCAGGCTTAGGATACTGCCTAGTGTCTTGGTCCACTTCCTGTTGCTGGAAAAAATGTAGGATTCTCGGTTACTACTCCAGCACCACATCTGCCTGCATGCCTCTATGCTCCCCACAATGGTGATAATGGACTGAAACTCTGAAACTCTAAATGAGCCACCATAATTGAATGTTTTTCTTATAAGAGTTGCCATTGTCACGAAGTCTCTTCCCAGCAACAGAAACCCTAACTAAGATAAATACCATGATATGTTATAGGGAAATTCCAGAGAATTAGAAACCACATACTAAAATTCCATTTGTATTTGGCTAAGACACATCTCTATTTTTTATTTTTATTTTTATTTTTCCAGACAGGGTTTCTCTGTATTGCTTTGGAGCCTGTCCTGGAGCTTGTTCTGTAGACCAGGCTGACTTCAAACTCACAGAGATCTGCCTGCCTCTGCCTCCTGAGTGCTGAGATTAAAGGTGTGCACCACAAACACCCAGTCAAGACACACTTCCAAATAAGCAGTTTTCTTGTAAAATTATGAAAATAATTAAATGAGATAATGCATAATTTATGTTATACTTATAAATTCACTTTGCATGGTTATGACTGGTATAAAGATGCCAAAAGCAGGGTATTTGAATAATTTGTTAATGAGCTATCTCAAATGTGTAATGGAGTTTACAAATAAGATAAAAGTGTTACTTAGTTGACAGCAAATGTTGATTTGATGCATATACTAAAGTTTAATTGGAGTCTATTATTTCCATTTACCAGTGCTTAATAATCCTCTTAGAGACCATAAACAAGTAATAAACCTAGAAAATTACTACAAAGGAAACCTAACAGGAATTCTAAGTGGGTAATCCTTGGAAACAGTAGGAAATATTTAAAAATCTGTAATTTCTATATCTAATCCATTTTCATTATGATTCAGTGGGTAGAAGATTATATGTTAAAATATATGTATGGAAATCTAATGAACAGTCATGACACTTTTCAGCTTTTATTGATTCTTTGTGGATTTCACATTGTGTTTTCCAATCCCATTCATCTCCCCATCCCCTCACATCCTTCCTATGCTTTTGCAACCTCTCCCCAAGACAAAAATTTTAAAGAAAAATGAAAAATCAAACACAATAAACAAAGAAGTACAGAAGAAGAAGAAGAAGAAGAAGAAGAAGAAGAAGAAGAAGAAGAAACAGCAATTCATCATGGAAGCTGTAGTGTGGCCTATTGAGTAACACAATTTACCTTTTATTCAATACATCTTTACTTTAAGTGTTTACTGCTATTCAATACATCTTTACATGTTAGTATTTATTGCTATGAGTCATTGGTCTTGTTCAAGGCCCCTGGCTTCTGATACACTATTAATAATGGGTTCTCATTGGGACTCTTCTTAGATACCCTGATGTTGTCCTGTGTCATGGGTAGCCGGCACTTTTGGATCTGTAGGTTCATTCCCTTCACATACTCCAATAGTGTATAGATGAGGTGGATGCTGAAGTGGCCTAATTCAGCCCTGGTTTTAGGCCTTGGTGCTAGCTGAGTTCAATAGCCTGCCAGCTTTCCCTCATTGTCACTGCCCAGGTGTGCTCCCCAGTACTGCCCAAGCTAGTTTACCCAATGTAACGGGCCAGTTCTCCTGCTCTCAGGCTCTTGGGTCTGGTTCACCCACACTAATACTGCCAGGGCCAGCTCTACTGTTTTGCCCAGGTGAGGTGCAAGGCCCTCCAATTTCTGTAGGGGGACATCTTATGGGGAAGAATGTGGTCGGGTATCTTGCCTTCACACCTTCAGAACCAGCTCACCTGAGTCTCCACCCACAGGGTCAGCTCTAATTTGCTGCTCCAATGTGGAAACAGCCTGCTCTCCTGTGTGCTGAAGCTGGTGAGAGACAGAGCTAGTACTCTCACTCCCATGACCCTTAGGCCAAGTTTCTCACCTGATGCAACTAGCAAGAGTTGAGGAATGAGAGCATCTTTCCCTTACCAATGCCACCACAAGGCAGAGGAGGGGTGGCAAGGTCAGCTTTCTTCTCATGCCCTCAGGACTTTCTGACCTGCACACTCATCAATAGGGTCAGCCCTACTGTGCTGGCCAGGAGAGGTGCAGGGCCTAATCTCCCAAGTGTTGTAGCCCTTGAGGGGCAGGATCAGCTCTCTCACTCTTATCATAAGGAACCAGCCTGTAGTAGGTGACAAGGGGTGAGGGACAGGTGCAATCTCTTCCTTGCCCTCACTGCTATATGACAGACTGTGGTGCTGTGGAATAATCCTTCTGTATGCTGTGAATATGTATTACTCTCAGTGATTGACAATAAAGCTAATTTGGCCTATAGAAAGGCAGAATAAGGCTAGATGGGAAAGCCAAACTGAAAATAAAGACTCAGGGGAGATACAAGCAGCAGGCTGGGAAAACAAGACTCCAGAGGGCATGTAAAGCCACCAGCCACGTGGCAAAATATAGATTAATAGAAATGGGGCAATGTAAGTTGTAAGAGCTATTTAGTAGTAGGCCTGCTCCATAGGCCAAAATTCTATAATTAATATAAGTTTTTTGTGTTTATTTGGGACCAGTTGGTAGGCACCAGAGAATTGCTCTGCCTCAGTTTACACAGTGGAGTAAGCTTTCCAACTCTCAGGCCAGCTTACCCACAGTCCTGCCAATGGAGACATCTTGACTGTGCTACCCAGCTGAGGTGCAAAGGTAGGTCTCCCTAGGGCTGCATCTAGTGAGGGGAATAGCCAACTCTGTGCAGCCCTATCCTCACTGACTTTAGAGGTAACAGTGACCATAGACATCAACACATACCATGGTTGCAGCAGTGTCAGAGACCCAGATATGTCACTGGGTGACAGTGCAGGCCTGAATGACACCATGGCCACTTTCCAGGCATTGGTTCAGCCTTTGATGATAACAAAATTGATGGTGTCAACACATACCTAGGTTGTATAAGGGCCATGGACCCAGACATGGTCCTTAGCCAGCATAAATCCAGATGACACCAAGGTACTGGGTGGCAGCACAAGATATCCAATTCTGCATGGCCCCAGCAACAGCCTGACCCTCAAATACCAACATGGGCTCAGGTGTCAGCCCAGACTGCAGGCCTCTGCAGAGTGAGTCCTCAGTGACAGCAGGAGCCATAGATACCAAGACAGTCTCCCACAGCTTCATCAGAGCCTCCCTCCAAGTTATGGCCCTTCACAACAGTTCAGACATAGACGTTCCTTGGTCCTGGGTGGCAAGCCAGACATTCACATATTCAAATCAGCCTGTTCCTAACCATTTTTGCCTCTTCAGATCAGCCTCTTTCCCTGGGCAATGGACCATTCTCTCTCTCTCTCTCTCTCTCTCTCTCT